GCAGAAGCTCCACAAAGATATGAATACAAACATGTGTGTGCGTGTTTGGGGTAAGCATGTCAAACAGCAAAACATGTTTAGCTGTTAACAGTTTTTCAGCATGTGTGGCTTGACACGCATGTTCAATGTATGTCACGCAGTGCAGCAGTGTGTAGAGGACATGCTGCTGTCTGTGTTTCTTCTTTTTTGCCGGCGGGGGGAGGCGGGGGTTGGGGGGGGTAATCACACTCGACTTGGACTCGCGTCCCTCACACCTCACAGTTCGTCGGGAGGCTCCCGGATTTCAGCCGTGGCCGGCGGGCTCGGCGCCATGGGCTCTGGCTTGTCGTTAGTGTGTACATCCATGGCCATCCATGTCACTTACACGTGTGTGCAGACAGCTACTGACAAAGTGGCATATGCCGCGTCCTCCCGGCCCATATGGATGCTCGGCCGCCAAACCGGCGCAGCCCGGCAGACGGCGGGAGCGGTGGGGGATCGCGGCCGCCTCCCCCTCACACAACCTCACTCAGTTGCTATACGGAGCTTCAGCACAAGCCGTGATGGTGATTCGTTAGTCTCTCTGCCTCCTCTGACAGGTGCGGCGTCATTCATTACGACTCAGAGCCCCCCCACTCCCGTGACGGGGCTACGACGGTGAATATGTTCATGACCCACCAGGCCATTCTCACCCATGGAACGGAACCAACGAGAGCCCCCTGTTCTCGCCTCCCCTACTTCTGTGCAGTTGGCTTTGCAGCATTTTGTCTTCAAGGCCCGGTCCCGGTCCATCTGCATACATTCCACCGGTCTGGTCTTCCAGGAACACGGGCCAGTCTGCCAAAAGGGGGCGGGGCTCTGACCCCTTCAACATATCCCACGACATGCCAGCACTATGTCTGATGGCCGGCATCCCACCCAGCGCCATGTTACCCCGGATCCATCCGCCGCTGGCGATCAGCCGCCGCTGTGATCGCGCTGTGACGGTTAGCCCTGCCGCTGATGAAGCCGTCTTCTGCCAGATTCTATGGCGGACGCTCCCCCCCCCCCGGAGCTGGGCCTCGGCGGGACGCACTGCCGCAGTGGGAGCGGGATTCTTCACGGCCGACTCTGGAATTACGAATGCCTTTCTGTGGGTCTGCCGGCGGCCCGCGGACCATGCAGACGGGGAACATATCTCTGAACACCCTTTGCAGCCTGCTTCTGCGAAAGCTGCGGAGAGTAAATATTTCTGGAGCGGCACCTGGAGGTTGGCGGTAATGGCCGTTTCATGGACGCTCTGCGTGTCGGGATGGTAAACAGCCGCTGGCTTCGGTGTCTTAGTGGAGAACTGATGCTGACGCTTCTCCCCGTCATTCTGCTTGTCCGTGTCGCCCCTTCTGTCCTTGGGGGGTGTGTGGGGGGCAAACTGAAATCAGGATTGGCCTCATAGTCTCAGGTAAAGCATTCCACCCCCAGTATGATCTGGTTTGTGACGACTCACCCGCCATGATGGAGGTCAGCGTGGTTCAGGCTCTGCTACACTCTGCACAGAGTAAAAACACGGTGATGGTACCCAACCGCAGTTTTACTTGGTATACTTCACATTTAACCTTGTTTTACCGCAAGGGGAATTTATCAGGGAGAAAATTCACACTTAATTACAGAAATGTATTTATAGATGGTTATATCTTTACACATCTTTACATATCACCTTTTATGTATAAAATGGCTGACTTTGACGCACTGTATGCGCAGTAAAGCTGCCATTTTCTCACCGCACCCATGTCCTTGACCTTCTGGAAGCCTGAGGTTGTGTCCTAGCCCGTGTGGGCCCAGTCCAGAGGGCGGGGGGCGCATGCACCCTCTGCAGTGCTCCTTCCTTTCTGTTAGGGGTCCTTATGGCCGCTGGGCTGCCTGTCCTTATGCCTGTTCCCATTTCTTTTAGTAAATGAGTTATTTGGAGAGTAGGTCAGCCCCTCTGCCATTCTGTGTCCAGTCCAGTGCCGCTTAAAAGGCAGCTGAAACCTGCGGGCCTTCGGTCCCAGCGTGGCAGTTTGTGAGCTTTGCATGTCAACTCCGCATGGTCACTATGAGAGCGCTGTTTAAGCGCGGACCTTCGCCTGAGGCCGCCATGGCAGCATGGAGCCAGGTCTTTAAGCGCCAGGTCACGTGGAGAGCAGCCAAGGCCCACACTCAGGGCCCGCTGGAGGTAACCGGCCTGTGCCTGTATGTGGATGCGGGCCGGCCCAGCCCTGCCAGCCAGCCTTTCCGGAGCGTGACGCCGGCTCCAGTCTCCTGTGCCCATACTCTGCGTGTCTGGTAGGCAGGGCCTGGTCCTCTTGGAAGGCCCGAGTGGGCTTAATCTATTCTTTCAGTTTGTTTTGGGCTGTGATCCATGATCCGTATGTATGTGCCTGTTTTTGGTGAGGCAAATGGGGGTGGGTGGGGCCACGGTATCGGTGGGCGGAGTCTGTCACGTGTGTGACTGTGTCTGTGTGTTATGTGCAGGTGTCCCTGCCTTCATAGGGAGAAAACGGAGAAACCATCCCTGCAAACCAGCGCTCCTGAGACCTTTCAAAAGTTGAAAATAAAAATAGAAGCGAAGGCGGCCAAACTTTCCGTTTGTTACTGGTTGTCACCTGCGTTCGAGACCCGTGGGGGCGTGGCTTGGTGCCATGCGCCACGTCATCTGGAAGTCCTCACGAGGATGAAAGTGTGTCTATGTGACCGAGGTGCTGACCCAGATATAGGAGATTCTATGTGCTGGAAAGTTCCCCCGAATACTGAGGAGCAGCGGGGGCGCGCCGGACTGCATTCCTCACTCGCACCTCCCTCTTGTGGCCACAAGGTTTTTTTCCAACCTCATATATTCTGTTTTTGAAGAAAATGCGAATGGTGGGGGTCTTCCAGCATGGCACCGGCTTCCATATGAAGGGAAAATAAACATGAAAAAGCAATATTTCAGCGTGGCAAAAAAACATTTGTAAATAGCTGGAGAACAGCATTCATTAGCCCCAGTGACAGGCGGTTAATACTCCTCTCTGATCGCTGCCGGTTATCTGGAGAAGAGTGTGCACCCTATTCCCCTCCCTCGACGGTGTGCACCATGGCGACACGCAGCCGGCCCAGAGACGGCTAATGGTCCGGGCAGGAGCGTGATGAAGAGCCGCTCGTAATTACGCAGGAGGCTGATAACCGCCGTAACATCTGCGGAGCGGGTCGCCATCCGGAATGAGCCGCTTGTGACTGCCGTGTTTCAATTTGCCCAGACGGAATAATTAGCCTATAATTGCCAAATGGGCCCCTCTTTCCTGTGGACTGCCTCGCTGACTGGCTTTAGAGGGTTTTACGTGCTTTCGGGCCCCCTGGTCTGCCCACTGATGTTCTCCTCTAGGGGGCACTCTTAGCTCTTCTGACCTCTTACTGGGTGCATGGTGATGAAGGGGCCTCTAGCAATGTTTTACTGTATTATATTCTTCCATACTACGTGGTTCTGCACCAGGTTAATGTATTATACTCTTCCATACTACATGGCTCTGCACCAGATTACTGCATTATACTCTTCTATACTACGTCGTTCTGCGCCACGTTAATGTATTTTACTCTTCCATACTAGATGGCTCTCCACCAGTTTACTGTGTTATACTCTTCCATATTACATGGTTCAGCACCAGGTTAATGTATTATACTATTTCATACTACGTGGTTCTATGCCACGTTAATGTATTTTACTCTTCCATACTAGATGGCTCTCCACCAGTTTACTGTGTTATACTCTTCCATATTACATGGTTCAGCACCAGGTTACTGTGTTATACTGTTCTATACTACGTGGCTTCAGCAGGTTACTGTATTTTACTCTTTCATACTATGTGGCTGAGCGCCCAGGTTACTGTATTATACTCTTTCATACTACGTGGCTCTGCACCGGATTACTGTATTATACTCTTCCATACTACGTGGCTCTGCACCGGATTACTGTATTATACTCTTCCATACTACGTGGCTCTGCACCGGATTACTGTATTATACTCTTCCATACTACGTGGCTCGGCACCGGGTTACTATATTATACCCTGACGCACTATATGGCTCTGCATTGGGTTGCTGCATTTTACTCTTTCATACTATGTGGCTGAGTGCCAAGGTTACTGTATTATACTCTTCCATGCTACGTGGCTCGGTGCGGGGTTGTTGTATTATACTTCTCTATACTATGCAGCTCGGCGCTGGGTTGCTGTGTTATATTCTTGCACACTACGTGACTTGGTACTGTGTTATTGTATAATACTCTTACCTACTATATGGCCCCACACCTATTACTGTATTATACTATTACATACTATGTGGCTCAGAGCCGTGTTACTGTATTATACTCTTACATCCTACACAACCCACCACCATGTTACTGTATTAAACTTTTCTGTCCTACTTGGGGCTGTGTGCCCCTGTTCTCCCTCTGGACCCGCACATACACATTCACGCCTCCCATCAAGATAGGGACACCCTGTGACCTCAATTAATGGGTGCCTCTATGAAGCCATGTGAAAATCTATTTGGCCAATAAACTGGGGCTTTACCTTCTTTTGGGATTAAGGGGCGTCTGTTGTGTGGCGCTAATCCCCCTGCCTTCGCCTCCATCGGCACACCAGCGACACCTTTGAGGGAATCAATCTACACACACCCCCCACTCCTCTCCCGTCCATAATCATCCATGGCGTCTCCGACACTCCAGATCGATGTTGCGGTGTACCTGTGTGATTTAGCTGTGATCCCAGTTAATGGTTCACGTGCCCCGGCACTGGCTCATGGCTTCTGTGATGACCACGTCGGTTTTGGCCGCCGGATCTGGTCACGACAGGAGACACTTCACCATCTGCTGAAGCTGAGCTGTAAAAAACAGGTTCCTGCCATTTTCTCGTCGTCCGGGCAGTGGGAGCGCAACGAAGGCTGTCTGGCATGCGTCGGCCCCTAATCGGCTTGACCCCGAGCCCACATTGGCTCTCCCTGACTCTGCACTATCCCATTTGTGTCTGCAGCCACCCTCACGCCCTGAAGATGAAGCCCCCGCCCATTGTGCTGCTTCTGATTGGTTCAGCGGCCTGCGTCAATCTGAAATTCATCTCCAAGAGGAACTCCGGTAAGTCTGTTTCCTCACCGCCGAAAGGGGAGGGGGGGGTGTGCAGTTTACCCACATGGATGGCACGACAACCTCCAGAGGAAATCTTGTTATTTCTTTATCATCTAAGGCGAGGCACGCCACGACTGAAGCTCATTTTATGATGTGTGTTTCCCCTGGGGGGGGCGCTATGTAAAATGTTTTAAAAGCCAGACGTTTTTAAGGTCTCCCCAGACT